TCAAGGTTAGACTGCTTAGCTTCTTGACAACACCGTCGGACTGACTGCTGATGACACGAACTACTCTCACCACACTGTTGAAAGTAGGGTCTGTTCTGGATAGTACGTCTGCTGCTCTCTCTAGTATGTCGTTGACCAGTGTACGGCGACACTCCAGTAGATGTTCCACTTGTTTGGCTCCGTCCTGGCGCTCACGATGTTTGGCCAGCCCTGCTGTGATCGTGCTCAGCTGCGTCCACCACTTGGCGACATCGTCCTCGAACGGCTGCACGTTGCCGTTGTTGACACTCTGCTTGGTCGTCGATGTGTGGAAACTGGCGCACTCTGCTCGTCGTGCGCCAGGTGGGACCTGGCAAGAATGATGCGCGCACACTGTTTCTTCTACGGTGGCGACCCACGCAGCGAAGTGGCCACTTATGTATTCAAGGTTGCTTGAGCCAAAACGGCTACTGACTGAGTTTGGAAAGTGAGCAGGGGGCTGGCATGCACTGGATGGGATGAATCCAACATTCTCACGGCATCTTCGCCACGTCTGCTCAAGGATGTGAAAGCTGGGGCGGTCCTCCTGGGGGTCGGCCTGGCTCGCTAAGGGGGGGGGGGGGGGGGGCCTTCGCGACGCTGCTCCTGGGAAAACGTTTCCTGGGCGATCAGGTCGTGCTCTGGCCATGCATCAAGATCCTCCTCTACTTCAAACTGGAAGGGCTCCTCTCCCTCATCCTCGTCAGGGGCTCTCTCACAAGGCTCACCTGACAGGGCGGGTTCCAGGCGGTCCCCACATAAACCAGAATACACCTCACTTATTTTGGCTCGGGCGCGCGCTCGCTTAATTTGCCGCTGCGTTCTGGCAAGAGCTGACTTCGACCCAGGGGTGACTGTTTTACAGGATCGGGGCTCTTGGGGCAACTTAGCTGGCAAGCTCAGGGTTCGCGTTTCCAACGGCGCTCCTACTGGGCACAGAGCTACAGAAATTCCAATGTGCGGCTTCCAGGGGGCCGACAACACTGGCGTCACACTCTTTATCAGGCTTCGGGCTGACTGGCTGCAAACAAGGTAATCAATGTGAGACCTTTTTTTTCACCCGACGAACAAATGATCTCCGCTGGTGCTTGCGCGACCTGGCCCCCCTCAGCATCGAGGAAACCTGACTTAGACAAAACTGACGCTGGCATGTTATAACCTCCTGCTGCAATCCACGGGATTTTGAGCGCAGACAACAACGCTCCGAGGTGGTGAAACCTGGACAGGTTCTTACCGGTCATGCCTATCGAGGGAGGACAATGGCGAAGCCTTGGAATCGAATTGCTGCTGGCATGAAACCGCCCCAGCACGCCTGGCCCTTGACCTGGAGGGCCTTGACATGTTCTGCGGCTGCTAACTCGGTGCGCTGAAGGCGGCCTCTGGCAAGTATCCACTCACACCCTTGATTAGACTTACTGTTTCTTGATTGGCTATCTACTTTGTGGGAAGCACTAGCTTTATTCGGCAACAGGCGAAACTTGGCATTGCGAGCTCTACTCTCCCACTTGCGAAGGTCACCTGCAGCGACATGTGTGTCCGCGATCCCAAAATATTGGTACTGCTGCTGCTTCGTCGATTCAATGAATCTCCAGCATTTGTCCCCCATGGCGGTCACGCTGGCAAAGAACAACTTGCTCGTTCCATCGTCTGGCGGAGAAGTCGGCCCTGGAGTCTGACCCGCAGACTCAGGCGCCTCCGTAGACGTGCCGCCGCCGAATTCTTGATGAGATAGTCACCTGCTGGGCCCCGTAGGACCCTTGCCACTGCCCATCGGCATGAAGCGGTCGGGGCCCTTGCCTTTCGCCTTCATCGCGATCCTCTGGGCCTCGAACTTGGCCTCGGACAGCTTCTGCTCCGTGGTCTGGATCTGCTCCTTGGTCTTCTGATCAACGTCGGCATCGTCGATGACCATGGCGGTCGGCGCGGCTGCTGGCGCAGCCACCGAGTTGCCCTCAGCTGCGCTGGGGTCTGCCTCGGGAGGGGGCTCGGAGTCCGTGACTCCCGCGGTCCCTGGACCGCCTCCCCTCGCGCCGTTACCGCCTGGCCCCTCCTGGTCGCCTCCGACCTCGTCCGGCTTCCTCTTCTTCATCCTCTGCCTCATGGCCTCGCGCAGGTCGGATGACTCCTGCAGCCACTTCTCTACGTCCGACTTGTAGTCGTCGGCTCTGGCCGAGAACTGCTTCAACTCCTCGTGGATTGCCTTGAGCCTCTGCTTCTCGGCCTCCTCATACTCCGAGTCGTCGAGGTTCGTGAACATGGTCTCGTCCCGGGTCAACTTGAAGTTGGGGTTGTGCTTTGACTTGTCACCCTCATCCTCGTCTTTCTGGGGCGATTCCTGGACTCCTTCTAGCTTGGCCATCACTGCTGTGGCCCTCTGCTTCATGATAGTAGCCTGAGCAAGTACTTGTGCTGCGACTGCCTCTTTCGTCTGAGCCGTCGTCAAGGCCTCTCTCAAGCGTAACACATTCGAAACTGCTTGCCCGTGTTTGAAATCCGCATCCTTCCAAGCGCCAACTGCTTTGCGAAGCGCCTCTGCCGCACTCAAGGCCTCTGCCGTGCCTGGGTCAACCCCTGGCCCCGCTGCCTTCTTGAGTCTCAGCTGCTCCTGGAGAATCTCCTTGAGCTGGGCGTCTGTGGAACTCTTGATCGCGAGCTCGGGGCCCTCGATCTCACTGAGCACCTTCGCCTTGTTGCCGCTCTGGGGATCTGTGCTATTCTGGAACGAATCTTTGGGCTTGTGGAGCTTCACCTTTTTGTGGCACGTGCCGCATACATAATTGGCTGCCACCAAGAGTTGATTCCACTCACATCGCCCACAGCTCTTGAATTTTGTCCATCCCTGAGTTTTGTCAACAGCTCCCACCATTGCTCCGTAGCTGGTTGGAATGAACTCCAGCTTTTGCCACCGCTTCTGCGTGGAGGAAACGTGTGCAAACTAGCGGTGTGCCTCAAGCACCTCGTGCAGGTACTGGAGTCGGCTCCAGCAAAATGCTATAGCCCAAATGGCTTGAGAGGAGGGCGGAAGAGGAGGAGAAGGAGAAGGAGGAGGGCGGAGGAGGAGGAGGGCGGAGGAGGAGGAGGAGGGCGGAGGAGGAGGAGGGCGGAGGAGGAAGAGGAGGACGACGAGGCCGACTTGCAGCCGCAGGTGCCCAGGGCCGCCCTGGCAGCGGCTCAGGCCCGCGCCGCTCCCGTCCGCCGAGGGCGGGAGCCCCCGGGGGCCCCACCCGGCCGGCCCGCCGAGGGGACGAGCTGGTGGCCCCCGGAGAGTGCCCTGCAGAACTCTGCCGCCGTCGTGCCCCTTGCCATAAGTCGACGAAGAATGAAGAATACCCCCAAGAATGCTCCAACGTGGACCCAAACTACTCCCAAAGTGGTCCCCAGACTATTATTTTCGACGAAAAAGAAAGAATACCCCCAAACATGCTCCAAGATGGTCAAGAAATACTCCCAAAGTAGTCACCAGACTATCTTTTTACTATTTTTGAATATTCCCCCTGTAGAGGGACATGCCCGACTGAACCCTTGCCTGGGGGATCCCCAAAGACCGTGCGGTGACAGGCAGACCGTGCGGTGACCTGGGAACCCCAAGAGACCTCACCGCACGGTCCGTCACCGCACGGTTCTTGTTTGACTGTTGTTTGGGCCAGTAGGGGTCTCGAGAGGCTTCGGAGTCCATGGGCCACGGACACACAGGATGGGTCGCCGTGCCACCTCCCCAGCAGCACAGCGGCCTATGCCGAAGGCCAGCGTGCGCGTGCACACTCTGCCACCAGGCGTCCACGCGCCGAGTGGGAGCAAGAGCACGGGCAGGCTGGCCACAGGGAGGGCGTCCGTCACCGCACGGTCTTGGGACCCTGGAGGCCCCTCTCGCCCGAGACACCCTCGGAGAGGGACTCGAGTCCCAAAACCGTGCGGTGACCCCGAATCCCCACCGACTTACCGCACGGTGCGGTCGCCACACCGTCCGGGGGCCTCCCCCCCGGCCCTCAGACCCGTCGCGGCACCGAGCCGGCTCTCGGCCCCCACCTGCCCCACACGGTTGGTCTCAGCCCCACCTGGTTTGTTAGCCCTCTGCCCCCCCAGCATATCTTTCTGCCGTCGTCGTCGTCGTCCTCGTCCTCGTCGTCGTCGTCGTCGTCGTCGTCGTCGTCGTCGCGGTCCTCGTCCTCGTCGTCGTCGCCGTCCTGGTCCTCGTCGCCGTCGCCGCCGTCGTCGTCGTCGTCGTCGTCGTCGTCGTCGTCGTCCTCGTCGTCGTCGTCCTCGTTGTCGTCGTCGTCTTCGCCCAGGGAGTGCGGCTTCCGCTGCCGAGGCGCCAGGCCTCGGCGCCAGCCGCGCGGCCGCTCTCACGCTCAGGTCCAGGACCTCAGACGCTCGGGACCCAGCGCAGATTGGAGGCCTAGAAATTGGCACCAACACCAGCACAGGGGGTTGCCTCCACAGGGGGAAGATGATCCTAGATTTCGGTGTTGGTGGCAATATTTCGGTCACCTTGGAAGCCAGAATATTACCACCATCACCGAGATCGGGATCTTATTCCCTCGGTGGAGGCACACTGCCGATATTGGTGTTGGTGTCAATCTTTAGGCCTGCGAGCAGAGCCAACGCCAGCACTCAGGACCTCGAGCGATGAGGACCTCCAACGCGCAGGTGCATGAGCACTAACGCCCAGGGCCAGGTTCTCCCGCGCCCATCCTCTAGGTGCAGGCTCGCCTCCTGGGAGGCCGAGCTCGCCTCCTCACCATCCTCGCCCTCGCTCCTCCGCCCTCCCCCTGCTTGCTGAACCCCTGCGGCTCCCCGTCCCCTGCTCCCTGCTGCCTGCTCCTGCTCTCTGGAGCCCCCTCCCCCCTCCTCCTCATTCCCCTCCTCCCTCGCACACTCGCCATCCTCTGCTCCTACCCCCTGCTTCCCTCCCTCCCTCTCTTTCCATCCCGCTCTCCCTCCCTCCCTTACTCAACCTTCGCCCTCGTCGTGGCCCCCGGAGCCTTGTGGGCCGCGACTACGCCCTCGCCGAACTTCCTGTAGCTCTGCTCGGAGAGGTACAGGTAATCGTACCCCTTGCTGGGGTCGTCGGGGACTGTCCATTTCACCTGGCGGCGCACTGCACGAGTACAGGCGCTCGGCAATGAAACAAACAGCGATGGTTCCCCCAACTAAGCAGACACTGAATGGGCATATCGAAAGCAGACATGAGGGAGGCAAGAAAGGCGAGGCGGAACAAGCAAGGAGGACGGACAGACGGAAAGATGGATGCGCTATTGCATAGGAGGGAGCACGTCAGGATGTGGACGGAGAGAGGAAGGAGCGGCCTAGGCTGAAGTCGGGCCTGTCCCCCTACAGGCCGATTTTGAACGACAAATAAAACATACCCCAAAAGTGCAATAAAAATAATCCAAAATGGTCAGAAATAGTCCCCATATTATTGTTTGATCATCTTTGAATGTTCCCCCTGTAGAGGGACAGGCCCGACTTAAATCTATCCTCGCAGGCGATGCGATCGCATCCGTTGACACTGCCCTCCCCCTGCTCCCCGCCCTGCCGACGCCGCCTCTGCCCCTGCTCCTCCTCCCCCGCCCCTCCCCGAGGGACAAGAGGCCGCCCCGGGTGCACTCCACGACAACGGGCGCCGCGCACCTGTTTCCAGCGACGACGGCTGTGCTAAGGATGACGACGATGGTGGTGCTGGCGATAAAGACGGTAGCGATGGGGGATGCGATGATACCTTTCCAGCGACGACGGTTCTGCTAAGGATGACGGCGAAGGTGGTGCTGGCGATTAGGATGATGGTGATGGGGGATGGAATGATATGATCAGAGCAAAGAGAACTGTGCACATACACCGATTCTGGGTCAAGGCCCGACCCTGAGCCCAGGATCGGTGCATACGCCCTCTTACCTTGGCCAGGAAGGCGTATGCACGATCCTGGGTCAAGGATGGGCCTTGCCAGGATCGGTGCATGAGCATAGTTCTCTTCGCCCAAACGATGGTGGTGACAAACATGGCAACGACGATGATGCGAGCGGCCACGGCAACGATGATTCGGACGGGCAGCGACCGGCGGTGACGCCCAGGCGTTGCGCTCATAGCGCAGCCCTCACGGGCGCAGCAGAGACAGGCAGAGTGCTCGATGCTCTTTGCCACAGGCCTGGCGCAGATCTGGACCGCCCACACGCGCGCTGGAGCCCATGCGCTTGTTCTCCAGGGCCGCCCTGCGGCTGGGCTTCCGAAGAAAGGTCGACGGAAGACTCGAACAAACACAACGGAGCTCGTCCTTAGCGCTCGCGCTGCTTAGCGTCCTTGGGACCCTCTTGGGAAGCCTCTTGGGACCCTCTTGGAAAGCCTCTTGGGGGCCTCTTGGGGCGTCTTCGCGGTCTCTTGGGCACTGTGAGAAGCGTCTTGGGTGTCCAAGAGCTAGCTTTGAGCACTCCAGGGCCGCCATGGAACGTGTTGGGGGCCCTCTGGCCACGCCTTGGCCGCCCCTCGGGCTGTCTTGGGCCGTGTCGGTAGCCTTTGGGGGCCGTCTTTGGGGCCTCTTGTACCGTCGTGCACGCGGTGAAGACCCAGAAGTCGTAGATGCTAAAAATGCATGTTTTCCTTATGCAAAATCAATGATTTTGGCCGCTTGGCGCTCCCTTGGAAAGCTTCTTGGGGCGTTGTAGCGGCCTCTTGGGCTCTATGGGGGCCATATTGGGTGTCCATGGGCCGTCTTTGAAAGCCCTGGGGCAGTCTTTGACCGATTTGGGAGCCTCCTGGGGCTCCGTGGGCACGTCTTGGCCGCCTCTTGAGCACGCCTTGGCCGCCTCTGGGGCTGTCTTGGGCTCCTCCTGGGCCGTGTTGGGAGCCTCTTGGGCCGTCTAGGGGCCGTCGCGGGGGCCTCTTGTACCCTCGTGCGCGCCGTGAAGGCCGAAAAGACGTAGATGCTAACATGCACGCTTTCCTTAGCAAAATAAATGATTTTGGCCGCTTGGGGCTCTTGGAAAGCAACTTGGGGCGTCGTGGCTGCTTCTTGGGCTCAATGGGAGCCATTTTGAGCGCCCAGGGGCGATCTCTGAGCGCCCCTGGGCCGTCGAGGACTGGTTTGGGGGCCACTTGCGCCTCCTTGGACACGTCTTGGCCTCCTCTTGGTCCGGAAAGGGGCGCTCCCGGAGCCCCAGAGCGGCCGCGGGGGGCGCAGGTACCGGCCTGGCGGCCCACATCCCCTTCCGCTGGCACATATGTATATATATATATATATATTATATATATATATATACATATATAATATATGTATATGTATATATACACATACATATATATATATATATATATATATACATAAATATACATATATATATGTATCACGCTGAAAACATCGGGCCAAACGCATGGCCTCGCCGCGCCCCCCATCGCGCTCAAGGGTCCGCGCGATTCCCCGCGGGGCCGCATGGCCCAAATTGAAACAGAGCTTCTCCGAAGCTTTTCGGATGTTTTGGGCGTTGGCGATCGCCGCGGGGGTCTGGGCTGACTCGGTCATCTCCTGATTCGGACTATCAACCTCCAGGCTGGCCGCCAGACGCACTGCGTAAATTCTGCGGCCAAAAGCTGCAATTTGCCGCGCTTGTCTGGAAAGCGGAAACTCGCCATCAAAACCAGGGGCGCGACCTCCTCGCCGGCGCTCAGTGGGGCCTCCACGCGGGCAGCCCAAAACTGCGCAAGATCATCGGCGCCTCGAAGGAGAGCTATACAAAAGGCTGGAGCGCATCGGCCCGAGCACTTGCTGCGCGAGACCCCGCTTGCCCCCCCTCAATCGTCGCGCAGGCGCGATTCCCCCGGCGTCCCTTCTCAAGGCGCGCCGCGAGTTGACGGGGGGGCACCGGCGCGCGCGCGCGCGTCTCGGCGGTCGCCGCGCCCCCCGGGGCCCTCGTGACCCAAGCGCGCATGTCCGTCTGTGCGTCGACCATCCGACTCATGAGCTGCTTCGTCTCAGGCATGTTCCAAACCGCCGATCGAATGGGGGCGTTCGAACGCGGCGTCGTCTCCGCGATCCAACTGCGCTGCGTGTACCTCCTGGATGCAATGTCGCACGCGCGCGCTCGCTTGGAGCGCCGCGCGCGCGTTCCGTCGCACTAAGGCCACCGCGCGATCACCGCGCGCCAAAGTCACGCGCGCGAAAGACAAGCGAGAAGCACCCGAGGTCGGAAACGCTTCAACCCTTGCAAAACCTGGCGCTAAATCCGTCGGTCACACAAGCCATGGCCCGCGATAGTGTCATCGCTCGTCGCCCAGGAACTCGCCACTTGACCTTCTTCTGGGAAAACTCCAATGGCCCCCTGGATCTGATTCTGACGTTGCCGTCGTGATTTTCGCTTTGGCACTGAGGTCCAGGGGGCTTCCTCGGAGTCGCTCTGGTCACCCAGGGGCTCCTCTCGTGGCGGGTCGCTTGGCACCTGGCTCGAGGCGCGGTCCTCGGGCTGGGGCAGCTGCTCGACTAGGTGGAGCACCCGGTCGACACAGTAGGCCGCCTTCCCCAAGTTAACGACCGGCATGATGTAGTTGACGGAGTCGGTCTATTCGAGTCTGACGCGGGCGCCGAGCGCGCCGAATGCGATGGCAATAAAGTCCACGCGCCCTTGTAGGGCCTTGAGCAGGGGCCACTGCTCAACAGCAAAGGAACATTACCCTTCGCGACGGCTGCGGCGATGTGGCCACTCACGCCGCCCATCGCCACTGGGATCTTGGCTGCACGGTTGGTCTTTTCCTGCCGCTGTTACCGAGCCTGAACGCATCCGACTCCTCGTAGAACTCTAGCTCCAGGGTCCAGCACCGTCTTCAACTTCTTGAATGAGTTATCGCTAATCAGCGCGCGGACGCAGCCTGGGTCCAAGACGTCCCTCCCGACGGGACAAGCGAAAAAGGTCTCGACTGGTTCCGTCGGTTCCTCGCTCGACTTTGCCCGGCGACGCCCACGGAGCTGCTGCAAGACAGCGGCCAGGCTGGCGTCGCGTGCTCCAGGGTCTTCCAGGACCAGAAAAGCTGCGCCGACGCCAGTCGGTCTCCGCCCTCGGAACTTGCCTTTGCCCTTGCCTTTCTTCTTGGGACACTCCCGGGGCCAGAGGCCAACATCCTCGCCGGCGTGGAATATGGTATTATTTTTCTTGGTGTCCTCCAGCTCGCGGCGGAAGGTGATCTGCGGCTTGTCCGCCCACTGGAAGTTCTTGGCCTTCCGAGCGTCATTCATATCCTGCCGCTTCTCCTTCCGCGTGGCCGCCAGCACCGCGATGACGCCCATATCCTCGAAAGCCTTCTCTGGGCGCCGCCGGTCTCGGCGCCGTCCTCGTTCCCAGCGAGCAGCGCCCCGATGTCCGCGAAGTCGTCCTCCTGGGCACGCCGGCCAGGAAGAGCGCTCCCGAGCTCAGGCTGCCACTCCTCCTCTGCGTCGTCCGCCTGGTCGGCCGGCAGCGCGCCGGCCTCAGCGCGTCGCAGCTTCGGTACAGAATCTTGCAGCTCGGACAGGCAGCCTGGATAGCCACCTCCGCTGCCTCGGCCGTATACTTGGGCGCCATCGCCTTCACGATCGCCCGCTGGTATGGCGTCAACCTGCAGCGATGCGGCAAGGGTCCGCGCTTGGGCCTCCGTGGGGAACTGCACATTTGCCTTGGCCGAACACTTCTGGAGCACCTCTTTGGCTCTGCTGAGCCAAACCGCCACGGTTTCACCCTCGCGCCCGTGAAGGCCAGACGTTGCCTCGAGGTTCGCCCCGAAAATAGCATCCTTCTCCTTGGATGGCCATTGTTTGAGCGGCAGCTCAACGAGCTTGCCGTCACGATCCTTTCGCTCGTAGTCTTCAAACTCCAGGAGAATATGAATGAAGGTTTCCCATTGAGTCACCTCCAGCTTCGGGCAGGCCTCTCTATCCACT